ATTTTGGCTTTGACATCTTAATCCAGCAGCCTAATCTGTTTTGCTTATGCATCCCCTTTGGATTTGTTGTTAATTTTGATCAGACTCTTAGGCTTATCATTGATATAGCTTTGGATGTCATTGACATAGTACTTCGTAAAATGGCATGGATATTTTAGGCACTGATTTCCCTAGTAAGGATAAATCTTTACAACATAAGTGTATATTTATGAAAATCAAATCATTTCTCTAGCCGTTTCACCTTACTTTCATGCCACTTGCTTAATTTCTTTCTTAAATTAATGATGGCAATTTTCTTTATGAGCATATTGTTGAAAACGAACATTGGTTTCCAATTTCAGTTTTGATGGTTAATTTACTCAATATAAAAATATTCTAGACATGTTTTTCTTGAACTCGAGGAATGACTGCAGGTTTACATTGGCTATTTGAAGAAGGGAACGTTGCCGTGATATTGGATTTTTGAGCAATTGGTGTTGCCATGGGTCGGAGGTTAACATGAGCAATTTGTAGTTCCATATTCACACTCTCACTATGAACACAAATTCTTTCCAAAGCTATATTTACTGAAAATTGGCATTGTTTTTTAGTTAGAACAGGAGAAAGAATACTGGAGATTGATGCCATGGTTTTTGCTGATAGAGGTGTTGTTTGTATTGACGAGCTTGATGAGATAAATCACCGAGATTGTATGGCTATACATGAAGTTNTTGATAAGAGAGGTATGCTTTATGTCAATTCGAGACTATTAGAAATATCATATGTCGAGCTGAATTTTAGAAGACCAGGAAATATTTTAAATACAAAAAATCATATTACTGGCATGATATCACAACATCTCATGGGTGAAGAAAAGTGACAAAACTATTTTGAGTTTAAACATTTTATTGCTTCCTGATTATTTTCCTTCTGATATTGACTTGTTTTCTCTATGTTTTTTGTTAGTTAACATGATACCATGGCAGTAGATGGCCCTCCATTTGATCCCAGCATATCCATAGGACACAACTTCTTTGAGCAGAACCTTCACTGATATACTGCATAGGTTATGTCACTTCTATGTGTTCTCAGCTAATGTCTTAATTTTTTGTTTCTACATCTTTCTGAGCAAATCTTTGGTTTCAGGTTTGTTGCTTTGCACAGTGAAAGGTGCAAATTTAGAGCAGGTTGATGAGGAACAAATAAATGACTAAGGATGGGTAGGTTGAGCCTTTAAATAAATAGGATCAATATTGGGATGTCTTCATCATTCAAATTGGAGTAAAAATAAAAAATGTAAATCAAAGAAGACTAGGCAGAAGAAGAATGCTAATCAAAATAAAAAAGAAACGAGATTAAAATGTTATCTTTGGGTGTTAGGGTTGAATGAAGTGGGGACAAAGAGAGTAAGAGAAGGGCTAGATTTTCGTGTTGTGCTGCTTGGTTATAACTTATTTGAGTATAGTATTTCCTTAAAAACAGTAGTGTTATATTTCACAATCTTATTTTTTCTCATTATAACATAGACTGTAGGGCAAAAAAATCAACAGCAGAAGTGTTCAAACAGTGCAGAGGAGCAAAATTTTTATTATTATTAGCCCATCTTTTTAACTGCCTTAAGTTGCCATCTTTTTCACTGTCTGAAATATCATTTAATTTATAGTGAAGTCAATGACATTCAAATCAAGTCTAAAAAACTGCATTAATTAAGAAAACTACAGAAGAAGGTATATATGAACATCTATCCCAGAAAGCCCTAATTCGAGACAAAGAGTATGGTTGTTGGATTTAAATACATATTGGAGACATGCTTTTGTGGTAATGCGTAGTATGAATCTTTTCACAAATTTTATGGACCATAGTTGTGAAAAACGCGCTAGAGGCTCACCTGAGGCGCGCATCATTCAAGGCGCAGGGCATTGGGCATTCTTCACGGTGATGCGGGCGATGTACGTTATGCGAGCGCATACCTGCGCATTAGCGCAATAAGCGATGCGACTGGATGCGATAAAACGCGCACATCGCGAACACGGATTACATTTTTTATTTTAAATTTTTTTAAGGGATGACTTAGTCGAAATTTTTGCTTCTCTGCTTCGTCTCTATGTTCTTTTCTACGGCTTTGTTTTTTTGCCACTTCATCGCATGAGATTTTTCTCTCTGGATCAACTTTGCTTCTGCCGTGCATCGGTTTTCCTTTTGCTCTCTTCAGATTCTCTATTTGCTTGCTTTACATTTTAGGTTCTTTTACTTTTTTTCATTTTTATAATCGTGAGGCTTCTGGCCTTCTGCCTTTTTTACTTGTCTCTTTAGTTTTATTTTTTCGTATTCATACACAGCTCTCTTCATTTAGTTTTTTTAAAAAAAGCCCTACTACTCCTTATCCCTTACTGACTTGGACTATTGGAGTCACAATTTAGATCTGAATCCCTCTTTTCCTTCTTGTATTTATATTTTTGTGTGCTCTTTCAAGTTTCATGTATGGAAGAATCTCTAGATTTTGGGTTTGAAGAACTTGAAAGACCAAATTCTAATGATCCCGGATGGAAGTATGTTCGGAGGTTCACAAAAATAGATGGGAGTGACCATTTTCCTTATTTGTTATAAAACCCATGAAGTCTATAATCTGATTATTGGTTTCTTTTTAAAATTTTCTTATGCTTTTCAACATTATATATCTAATATTACTATTTTTAGATGCTATGTTACTTATGCCTCAACGCGCGCATTGTGTTCGTGATGCGCGCACATCAATAGCGCATCCCGCATCGAGGCACGAGAGCCCCTTTGTGCATCGGTGTGCATCGCGCCTTAAATAACTATAATATGGACTAATAAGTAAATTTTTCTTATTATGACATGTGATTACTAAATGGTCCTCTTTGATTTTCGGAAGATGCTCTGTAGACAATCATCCAATTCAGGAAGGAGCTATGCTTGACAAGACAGCATGTTGTGAGCCATTTACAGGTCCGTGTTATTCTTCAAATTCTGTTAATGAGCAATATTTTCTGCATTTTTTAATTTTGATTCCGAATTTCCTAAATCGGATTTCCTTTTCCTTTGTTTATCGATCGATACCGAGGTCGATTTTGTCATTATTTTGCAGTTTTAAAAATAGTATATCTTTCCTTTCAATTCTTGATCTCTATTTCCTTTTCACTAGCACTTGATTTTACTGTTAGTTTTTTCATTGTTCTTATGAAATGTTATTTACTGTCCTTCATCCATTTTAGGCAAAAAGTTGTTATTCCACAATCTGCATCAATAGCCAGCCAAACCAAGAAAGCAGTCATGGGTATATTCGTGCCAATTATTTCAGTGATCCTTTGATCAATTGATTTGATTTGTTTTTTGATTGTTTGTTTAAGTAGAAATTAGAAATTACAAATACTTTGTGAATATTTTAGTACTCATTTTTTGTTTCAAATTCAGGCCTAATCTTCTACAAATGTCTGTTTGGGATTGAATCTCTCTTTTTGAAAGCACAATTGCCAAGTCTCCTTCCTTCTTAAAGGGATTTCAATCGAAGGCAGAAATAGCACAACTCGGAATTTCAAATTTTGAGATCGGAATAGGTAATTCAATACCACACAAAGTTTTAGTTTACTCCAGTTTAATTTTTTTTTGCCCTATTAGCAATTTTATAGTAAGAAGGTCAATTTTTGCTAAAATCTAATCCGAAACCCTTTACAAGTATTCATATTTCTATTCTAATAATTAAGCACAATTCAATGAAATGAATCTCCTTACAACTCATGTTCTGCGTTGCTATTTTTCTCTCTTGGTATAGTAATTTAATTCTTACCAGAGCCATCAAGGTTTACTGCTCATATTAAATATTATATAAAAATGCTTTCTTGATTGTTTGATCAGGGTATGTGAGAACACATGCATGTGTAAACCTCACATGCTTGATTTATGTGTGAGCACACATATTTATTAAGCATATATGTGTACTACAATTAACCATAATTCAAATAAATGCATCTCTTAAAAATTGATGTTCTTTGTTGACATAGCTTTTCAAATTTGTCATTCAAATTTACTAAGTGAGTTATTTGATTCTTAAAAGTAGTGAAAGAATCTTTATATATGAGATTTGATTTGGTGTATGACTCTTTTATTTTGGTGCTATATATGTTATATAGGATTAGAAGACTAATTGTAATGAGTAAGCATCTAATCAGTATTACCATGGAATTGGCAGTAAGGAAGCATATTTTGGCTCTTTTTTGTTCATTTGTTACAGGTACTGCGTTATAGCCTTCCATTCATGGATTCGGCTACCCCAATTTTTCCCCAACTTTTACCGGAAAATTCTTTTTGTCATAAATTCATGGGTTGATTAATACCATAATGCTTTCTTCAACCCGGAACCAATTCTCGACTGTCTTTGTGGAGCAGCGTGGAAGGGAGTACTCGCAAGAAGGGAACTTCAAGAGGAGGTGGAACACATAGTTGTGAAAAGCGCACCTGAGGCGCGATGCGCACGAAGCACATGGGTCTGTGCATCAAGCTTTGTGATGCGGGCGACGTACAGGAGGCGCGCGCATAACTGTGCATCATCGCATCATGCGTGCGTCTGAGGCGCTACAAGGCGCACATCACTTACACATCTTTAAATTTTAAATTTTTTTTTAAATTTTTTATCGATTAGTGACAATTGGTTGCTGTCGGAAAGATGTCGCCTAGAGTAATTGACCGCTGGTCGAAGTAGTTGATGTTTTTTCAGGAGCCGACCCGATAAGAGCGACCCAAATTTCATTTATTTTTTTAAAAAACCCTAGAACTCCATCACTTGTCGACTTGGACTGCGTTGAAGTCACAGTCCAGATCCGAAGCCCCTCTTTATTTATTTATTCTTTATTTTTAACTTCAATTGCTTTTGATTTTTGTATGCGCTTGACATTTGTGAAAAAAACTGAAATTAAATATACTATATATTTGTCGGGTTTGAGAATAAAATTGATGTGGTATACTAGTATTTGAGGTTTGAGAATAAGTTTAGTAAGTTAGTAGCTCGCAAGAAGGGAACTTCAAGAGGCGGTGGAACATCAAGGTAAGCTCGGTGTCATAACATCGAATCTCCTAACCTAAAAAAGCCCAAGATTTTCTTCAGCTACTCCAAATATATTTACGGAGTATTTTTTTACTCGAATTATATTCTAATTACTCCTATTCGTGAAAATTGTTGATGTTTCAGGTAATTGCAATGGTGCAATCGGTTGATTTTCTAAGAATTTCAGAGTAATTTTGTTCATTTTCTTTAACCTCTTTTACACTTTGTCTCTGTAAAGTGTTGGATTTGGTAGGAGTGTTTATTATATTAATAGTGATATTCGGAGTCTAGGCATGGCGCCCATCATCAGGGGTTCAATTAGCAAAAAAAAGAGGATTTGTATTCAAGTCCAAAATCTAACGTGTAAGGCAGGTAGTTGCTGTATGATCAAGGTTCCGGCTCTTGCAACTCTGGGATGCTTCTAACATGCTGTTGATTGACGAGGAGGTAGTGGTATGTTTTATTTGGGATATTGCTTTGATGACCGACCAGCTCTCCGCAGAGGTGAAGTCTTGGACACCACCCCGTCGCACCCGAACCTCCTCGCACTTAGGTAAATTTGCAGTAATTGAAATTTTAAAATTTTTTACTCCTCTTTTTTTGTATATAAAT